ACCTGAACCAAGCAATTGACAAACAGACATTGTCTGTTCCCAGAGCCCAATGATTGCATGGCTAAAATGGAGATAGTTAATTTCTGTCCTGTTTTAAGTCCAAGCCAATGTTTTATTCATCCCATTAAATTTGCTTTTTGTCAAATCATCGGTTAAGGCAGTGTTTCTCAAAGTGGGGGGCATAACAGGGGGGGGAGATCGTTGTTGTTAGCTTCTGGTGCTAGCGAGCTACGCTAACGAATATAAGGAGCTTTTTCAACAACAAGGTGGAGGAGAGTCCTCTCCTGTCAGACTGAGAGGCTCAGTGAGCTAAAGGACTCTCTCAGTGTTTAGATAGTTAACTTTAGTCTAAGTTATCTCAGTGGGTCTCAAACGTTTTGGTCACGATTAATGTAAACAATTATTTCCGAGGCACACGTTTATATGATCATTATAGTTATAAAAAAATAAGAGAATAAATGAAAAACAGGTTTGAAATACTATATGACAGTAAAAAAAGAATAAAGTTTAAAAGGGTGATTTGTAAAATATCCATAAAGAAAAAGTAAATCTGTTTACAGTTCTGTTTCATATGGGTGTTGAGAGATGTATCCATAGATCTCTTCATTTTGCTCTCAAAGTGCACCAGATTGATGCTTTTAACTTCAATATTTAAAAAAAAATCTTCCCGGGGGAGCATGCCCCCGGAACCGCCTATGTGAGGTCCACACACCACCTATAAAAATAGCACACAGACTTATGGAGCATTGTTTTATTATCACTGTTCTAGCAAAGTGATTTTTTTATTTTTTTGAAAGGAATGCTCACGTTCATATTGATGTATTTTAATAAATGTTAACTTGGCCCATTACATAACTATTTGTGTTGGGGGGGCCCAACTTTTTTTTTTCTCCAAAGGGGGGGGCCTGACAGAAAAAGTTTGAGAACCACTGGGTTAAGGGGATGTACCGACTGAACTATATATTCTCAGAATACTAGTCATCTCCCCTTTTCCTTCAATGTCATGTTCCTTGTTAAAACCTTAGCATATATAATGTATTCAGAGCGGATCGTAAGGGCAGAGCTGGTGGTGTTGCAATATACACTGCTGAGAAACTACAGTGCTCTGTCCTTCACTCAATTTCAATTCCAAGGCAATTTGAGTTGCTAGCAGTCCAAATAACTATAGCAAATGCTCCTCTCACTGTTATTGGCTGTTATAGGCCTCCATCGGCCATCATGGATGCAACTACTAGCCTTACTGAATTGTTGTCTACGTTTTCTTCTGAAATCATTTTATTGGGTGATTTAAATTGGGACTGGTTAAGTGATAAATCTTCACAGTTTAAGCAGGTTTGTGATTCTTTGAATTTAACTCAGCTTATTGATAGTCCCACTAGAATAAACCCTGCCAAACCCAATAACGATACCCTTATAGATGTCATTCTAACAAATGCAGCTCATAAGTATGTGTCTGTTGGTGTTTTTCCTAATGATATCAGTGACCATTGCACTATCGCTTGCGTTAGGAGCACTAAATTGCCTAAAGCCAAGGGCCTTATTGTGCTCAGGCGCTGCTTCAAACACTTCTCTGAGCAGGCTTTCCTACACGATCTGGCGGAGGTTAAATGGCACTTCATAGCGTTAATTCCATCTGTCGATGTTGCCGTCCAATTTGTTATTGATCACTTTTTATCGATTATTAATAGACATGCCCCCCTTAGAAAATTCAGAGTTAAGAATAGGAACACTCCATGGTTTACTAGAGAACTATCTGATCTCATTCATGATCGAAATAAGCAATGGTCCTTAGTTAGAAAGTCTAACACTAGTGATGACTGGCTTCTTTTTCGTGTCCTCAGAAATAAATGTTCAGCCCTTATTAAAAAAGCTAAAGCTGATTGCTATCTGAGCTTAACCACTGATTGTTTTAATGACCATTCTAAGTTCTGGAAAACAATGAAATCACTTCATAACAAGAATGTTTCTAGTTTCCCTCAAAAACTGAAGGTCACTGATTCTTTTATTTCAGATACAAATGAATGTCTAATGCCTTTAATGCTCACTTCAAAAAGGCTGGTCACATTTTTGATGAGCAAAGTCATGACTCTCTAAATGGTCGTACTCACAGCCATAGTCAAGAGATGAACTCCCCTGTTTTTGATTTTGCTTATTTCTCGGTCTCTGAAGTCTTACAGGGTTTGCACTCAATTGATCCTAAAAAGTCTGCCGGGCCTGACGGCCTCGACCCGTTCTTTTTAAAAATTGCAGCTCATATTATAGCACAACCAGTAACTGATATTTTTAATCTGTCCCTGTCCACTCACACACTGCCAGCTGTATGGAAGCAAGCTCTGGTATCGCCCCTCTTGAAAGTTGGTGATCCCACGAAGTTGAATAATTATCGTCCTATCTCAAATCTTTCTGTGTTATCAAAGATTCTTGAGTCCCTAGTTTCTACTCAGCTAAAACTTTTTTTAAATTCACACAACATCCTTAACCCTATGCAATCTGGATTCAGATCAAAGCACAGTACTGTGACTGCCAGTCTGAAAGTCTTAGACGATATTAAGGCTGCTTTGGATAAGAAATCTGTTTGTGTTTCATTGTTTATTGACCTAGCCAAAGCATTTGACACTGTAGATCACCACCTTATGTCTAATGTTATGTTGGTGTCTCGTTTCGGTCATAATGCCATTTGCTGGTTTCAGAGTTATCTAACCGACCGTACTCAATGCGTCAGGTTGGGTAGTACTGTCTCTGACCCTGTCACCTTGGAGAAGGGAGTTCCACAGGGCTCTATTTTGGGGCCCTTGCTCTTTTTATTATATGTAAACAATATTTGTAATCAGATGGAATTTTCTACCTATCATATGTATGCTGATGACACTATTTTATATTCATGTGCTCCTTCTCTGGACATGGCCGTTTCCAATTTAAAATCAGATTTTATCACGCTGCAGCATGCACTTCTCGATTCCAAACTGCTATTGAACAGTAAGAAAACCAAAGCAATGCTTTTTGCTCCCAAGTCAGCGTCCTCCTCTTGCCTCTCCATTGACACCCTTGATGGCGTTTCTGTTGAGTTTGTTGATACCTACAAATATCTGGGCTTTTGGTTGGACAGTAATCTGAACTTTACACCACATTGAAGTTCTAACTAAGAAATTGAAATTCACTCTTGGCTTCCTTTTCAGACTTAAATGTTGTTTTTCAATTTCATCCCGTAAAAGGTTGGTCTCTGGCTTATTCCTGTCCCAGCTGGACTACGGTGATACCATTTATAGATTTGCCTGTCCCACTGTTTTAGCCAAAGTTGACCCACTCTACCATGCTGCACTGCGTTATATATCAAATGCACCCTATAGGACTCATCATTGCACACTGTATAGCTTAACTGGATGGTACTCACTTACTATGCGTAGGATGCAGCACTGGTTTTTATTAATGTATAAAGTCATTTTAGGTAAGCTTCCACTGTATATATGTGCCAGATTTGCCCCAGTTTGCGACTCTTACAACCTCAGATCCAGTGCCTGGATACGGTTCCAGGTTCCTGCTGTGCGGACTGAGGCTGGAAAAAGGAGTCTTTTTTATTATGGTCCTTGGTCTTGGAATGACCTTCAATCAAGCCTAAAACTGAGGGCACTTTGGCACTTGTCCCTATAGAATGCTTTAAATTGAAGTTGTCTGAAGTCCTCACCACCAGCTGCTCTTGCAGTAATAAGTAGTCTACCTTTCTTACTGTCCAAATGTGCACAATGTAGTGACTGCTTTTTCGTCTTTTGTTTTCTTAGTTATGTTCTCTGTATTTTATATGTTTGTGTTATGTGTAACGTTGCTGCCTTCTTGGCCAGGTCAGCATTGTAAATGAGATTTTATCTCAATGCTTTTATCTGGTTAAATAAAGGTTAAATAAAAAAATATATATATATCAATATGATCAGATGATCAGTAGGAATTGGTTGACAGTAAATATTACCATCTCAATTGTATACACAGAACAAATTGCTTGTGCTATAACACACAATAATGGGGATACTAAAACACATCAGAGGATTATAAGAAACATGGAGGTGGTGAAGGGGAAAAGGTGTTGCACAACAGAGAGCTTTGGTGTTCAGAATCAAGTGAGGTGAAATTGAAAGGTCCTTCAGGTGGCAGCAGAGAGTGTCTGCTGGTCATCACAGTTGAAGGGCAGCGAGTATGTCAACCTGTGTGTCTGCAAAGAGACAAAAAGAAATCATGAGGTGAGACCAGCTGTGCACCGAGCTGCCTCCGTGGCTCAGGCGGAATCTCGTAGGTGTGCGAGTCAATAAGCGCCAGAGTCTTTAGATCTGGCTTTGTGATGCTGCTGGGCACTGATCAATTGGTGGTGCAAAGGCCAGCACTCTCTCTGGGTGTTTCCTTACACAAGCCACCGAGCAAACGCTTTCAGCCACAGGAGAAAATAAAAAAACTGAACTTAGACCTTAGAATCTTATAATATGTCACTCTCCAACTTTCTGACCCTTATATTTTATCGTCTTGCGCTTTCTGTCTACTGACTCTGCAGGTGATTTTTGTATAGTTCACAGAAGTGCTGGTACAATACGGTAAAGGTGTTTCAGGTTTGGGTAGTTCGTGGTTCAGTTTGACCGAAGGATTACGGGAAGAATTTACTTGATTTTTCATGAAACTTAGTGGAAGGGTGTAGCATGGAGAAAGAAAGAACCCACCAAAGCATAGCTTCTAGTTGCTATGGTTTTAATTGAAGAAATACCTTTACTTTGGAAGAATTAAGACAACCTTTGCTCTGTCCTTACCAAGCCAGTTGTACATAGTATTTGTTGAATGGATATGATGTGAACTGAAAAACAAAATGGATTTTCCCCTTTACCTTTGTGTTTGATGATTTGTTAAGAAGGAATGATGAGCCCATTAAATGATGTGTCCACCAGACCAAAGCTCATTAGTTAAAAACTCTCACACACTCCTGATAATCATCCTTCCCTCTGTATCTCTTCCTCTTGCTTTCACAGCTCTTCAGACCACTCATCCTCCCAAGGTCCTTTTTCCCCCGGAGAGACAAGACACATCGATAGAAATCACACCTGGTAAGGACCAACATCTATTCTCCATCTCTTTATTCTTTGGCTCAAGAGTAATCCTCAAGGTACTCGTTTTTAAAATGCTGTTGCCATCTGTGGTGCAAAGTGCTCATTTCTCTGGTGTTTCTTCATGGCACCGATCTGTGACACTACCATGGACGCTTCAATGTTCTGTCACATCACAGGTGGACAGCTGGAGTGCCACTGGAGTGCGACCTTCAGGCATTAGTGGAATTATAATTTGGGTTTATGGGACTCCTGTCATAGAGATGCATATGTGCATAGCCTACAAAACAACACCAAAACCCATTTACACACAAATATAATCCCACCATAACCCTGTGCAAGGGAGAAGTACCTCATTTCCAGCTTGCCAATTACAGTGATTTTCTGTCCATGATGATCCTGTAAATGCAGCTCTTTTTTGTCTCTTCAGAACTGATGCTAGCACTTTGTATGCTAAAGACGTAGTTGTTTTTTTATGACAACTGACTGATGTCAAAAAGCATTATTGGCTCGGAGCAATAGGTAGAAACCAAGTCCTCATAAAAGCAAATGTCAAAACTTGTAAAAACTACATTGGATTTGACTACACTTACATGTTTATTTGTTTCTAAAATTATATAATATAAAGAGCATGGATTCATTCCAGTGAACGTTGCTTATCTCCTTCAAACACCAACACAAATACTTTTTGGGCCCTCATAACATGCACATTAGCAATCCTATAGATTGATCATGTGATAGCATATAGGGTACATGGTTAGAGTTACTTGTCTAAAAGACTTGATCATACTGAGTAAGTTGGGGATATCTCAGACACTTGTTAATGATAAGATTTACTAAACCTAAACCAACCAAAACAAACCCCCTTATCTTTTTCGCATACATAAATTCACCTGACTTCATGCATTGGAACTAATCAATGACATTGAACATCGATCATCAGGCGTGGGAGTGTCAATATGAATGTGACGAACACATGTTTCAACGCGAAGGGTACTCCGGTTGGCTTCAACACATGTTTAACATTTGCAATCTTACACAAGTATTATTTGGATCAAGGCAATACAACTTACTAGTAAAACTTGGTTTGGTTTAGGAAAGACGTTATGGTTTAGGTTAAAATAACTATATCAGTAACGAGACTACAACCTTCGGTTGACCAGATCATCAACCCATTTGCCTCACTACGCAGACATTCTCGCTATTTTTAGATTACCCCCACATTCACATTAAAATAAATGCTAGAAAGGGTGTGTACATCGTCGTAATGTGCGTCTGGCTTATAGCCCAGGAGTAGAGTGTTTTATTGTGTTGGCTCTTTTTCTTAACCAATGTTGTCCTTTTTAATGAATGAGTATTGAAAAAGTGTAGTTGGCCAGTAGACATCTTGGGATCTCTTGATTATGAGATACTTTACTGCCCCATTGGTACATTGCTTTCATCGAAAGGGAAGTCAGAGGCGAGGATAATGCACAGAGCAGCAGGCTTTGAGCTTTTGGGGATTTGATGTCTTGGGTAAGACAGTTAAGAGACGGTGCCTCTGTGCCGCTCTGCTGGCCTCAGTCTTTTTTCACTTTACCCATCATGCTGCGTTTTTGTTCTTTCATCTCCTCTAGTCGGCGATTAACAGTGACTTATGAGCAGATATGTGCTCAATCCAATTTACTCTGTGCTAAAACATTTACACAGCCCGCACAGAACTCGCTACAGCGCTGTCTTATCTACTGATGAGAACTGGCCGATAGTCAAAACCATGACATTTTCAAATGCAGTCTTTGATTAGTCTCTACTGGGCTGATTCTCAGATAGAGAGTAAAGATGTTTGGATTGGCAATGTACGTCACTCTCAAGAATGTCATGTTAAACTATCATTTAAGAAAAAGGAAAACTGGTTTGGACTAGGTATGTGAACAAAAAACAATAAGCTGCTTTGACAACAAGAAAAGTCTAATAAGACAGGGATTAAAGAATTGAAGGCACCTCCCTGGGATTGGCTTGTTCCAAACAGTGTGTGTTCTGCTGCGGGCCTGGATGGCTGGTTTCCTCTGCCAGCTGTGTGTGTGTTTTCAAGTGCATTTGTGCGTTCTTGTATGTGTGTGTCCCGCTGTTTGGGGGTCTCTCTGACAATGTTAGCACTGTAGGCAGAAATGTGTTTGGATGTGTGTGTTTGTGTGTTTCCATTAACTCCAGATTGATGTGGTAACAAATAGGGCCCTAAGGCCTCTGTACACTGATTGCAGCAGGGACACCTTTTAATGGGCACCGCAATCTGAACCCCCCCCCCCCCCCACCGCCACCTCATACACACAAACCTAGAGCAATAAAGGCTGCAGAGAAAGACACACACTCTCTCACACAGTCACAGTGACCCTGCGGTATATTTTTAATTATCATCTTGTTGTAACCTGAGGGAGATTTACGCCAGCAACCACAGTTATGTTGTTCCTCCTTTCCACTTTTCTTCTCATCATTCCCACATTTATTTCATCCCTTTCTTGGTTAACTGTTTATTCCTTCATCTTCTTTACCGTTCCATTTTCTTCTCTGTTTGATTCCGATCTTGCTTCTCTGCCACCCACTCATCCTCCCTCTCATTATTCTACTGTGCTGTGGGTTATAAACACAATTCATTATGCTCATTGTTATGATACCGACGTGGGCTAAAGGCAACAGACTGACAAAAAGAGCTATAATTTACGATCAATCTATGATATTAAACATTTCTTTGATGTGGAATTCATGAATTCAGAGTAATGGTGCTTGAGGAGTTATTCATCCCCCTGACCAATTCAGCCTTTAAAACCATTCACTGAGATAAGTGTGCAGGTAGGATATGATTTAAGCATCGTAATTCTCATGTAGGGGTTTCCCTTCCCGTAGAGTGTTCTATAGGTTTTAGTGCATGTAAATGGTCTGCAAAGGCTAAAATCCCTGTGTTCCCTCCAGAATTAGTTTATCACCCACACACTCCCTCCCTGCCTGAAATGCCTCCATAGGACTCTAAGCTGTTGACCAATCACAACAGAACCGGCCAGCTAACCAATCAGAGCAGACTACACTCTGGTCTCAGACAGAGGGTGAAAAGAGGTGCTGCAGCACAGGCAGTATGAGAAAAATAAAGACCTTTTTGAACATTAAAGCACGGAGATATGTCACAGTAGAGACACCCACACATATTAGCACAATAGGGCCTGTTTAACTGAATTAACTCATGTTTATAAGAAAAATACTGCTAGTTCAGAATGGTGCCGCCAGAAAACAATGGATCATGCTGACTCTATCGACGTACTCGTGACGTGTGATTCAAGTGACGTGATTCAAGATGGCGCCTGTGTCGGCTCGCCGCTCGCTAAGCTCTCTAACTTTAGCTGTCCTGTTTTTGTTTTATGATTGTCAGAATGTCTCTGCTCTGCTCATTTATGATCGCCAAGCTCTCCTCCACCTCAGACCCTCACTGGAGTTGATATTGCTGCCCAAACCTACATCTGGCAACCATAAATCGTCCCCCCCCCCCTCTACTGTCGGATATCCCCACTTACCTACGCGGGTCACACTGCATCCTGCCTCGCCGAAAGCGCTTTCGATGACGGGGAAAGCGTGGTGGTGCACTGGTCCATCTGAAGGCATACCTGACGGCTTCTTCTGTGAATTATCCACGCCTCGGATGTCACGGCCCTCCCGCTGCACGCCAAGTGAGGGATCGGTGGATTCGCCCCGTTTTTCCGGAGCTCCGGACTCTGAGGGGCCCGCTGGCAGCTCCTCCTGCCCGACTGACTGCTCCCGGCCCGCGCGGCGTTCAACACGCACATCTTCGTCAGCTGAGACGCACTACACCTTTGGCAAGCCCGGAGCGAAAACTTTGCATGGCTTTGCTAAATGCTAGGTCGATAGCAAACAAAACGTTCCTGCTAAACGACTTCTTCACCTCTCGTGAACTGGATTTTATGTTCCTGACGGAGACCTGGGCTCACGCTGGCGAGTATACACCGTTCTCTGAACTTCTTCCTCCTGACTGTACATTCTTCAGCTCCCCCCGTGCCACTGGCCATGGTGGGGGCATAGCATCAGTGTTTAGAGCTAACCTCCAATGCCGATTGCTTCACCCTGTAACTAGCTATGCCAGCTTTGAGTTGCAGCTTTTTGAACTGAACCCGGCCTCGCCTATACTCTGCGCAGTCGTGTATCGTCCGCCAAAGTGTAATAAGGATTTCATAAATGACTTTTCTGACTTTCTGTCCGGGATCATGGTGAAATATGATCGTGTTTTGATCTCCGGAGACTTCAATGTCCATGTGTGTTGCGAGTCCAAACCTCTGGTTAGGGACTTTTTAAATCTCCTTGATTCCTTTGGTCTCGTTCAGTCCGTGGCTGGCCCAACACACGAAAAAGGACACACTTTGGACTTAGTATTATCGTTTGGACTGTCTGTATCTGTGGATGAAATATGTGCAGCAACGCGTATCTCAGACCATTTACCGGTTCTGTTTACAACCTCCATCCCTTCCGCAGGAGTCGAATCACGTGCCCCTGCGCGTCGTCTGCGTTCGATAAACCCCTTGACTGCCTCACAGTTCTCTGATGCTTTTAATGCTTCTCCGATCTGTAAATTAGATGTGAACTGTGCTTTTAATGCTGATGAGCTTATCTCCATGTTTGACTCGACATGAACACTAATACTGGATTCTGTTGCTCCTTTTACGCTTAGACGCACCAAAGTTCTATCAGAGCCGTGGCTCAATGACTGTACTCGTGATCTCAGACGCGCTTGCAGGCGTGCAGAGAGAAAATGGAAAAAGGATAAACTCCATGTCTCCCTAGAAATCCTTCGTGCTTGCCTTTCTGACTACCAGACGGCAGTCAAAGCAGCCAAAACAGAGCACATTTCTCTGTTAATCTCCAAAAACAGCCATAAACCTCAGGTTCTTTTTAATGTCCTCAACTCGATCATTAATCCCTGTGATGTTTCTTCTATTGTCCCATCGACTACTCTCTGTGATAAG